GGGAAAAAGGGGGGGGGGGGGGGGGGGGGGGGGGGAGCGCCAACGACAAAGTGCCAACTACGATTATAACCTGTAACAGCTTATAAGACCTTCGTGTCTCTTATCTGTCGACGGAGGAGCGACGTGTACGAGGACAAGGAATACCCGGATACATCATTCGTGCAGAAACCAAGCCCCCTTTGGTCACGAAGGACTTTTTGTCTGGCTGGGAGTAACGGGATGATCTGGTCAGACACGTGCGCAGGATGACGCAACTATACCTCATGGTCCAGGTATCCTTGTTCTTGGGGGAGGAAGTGTAGCGGAAGGCACGGGAAGGGACAGGACAGAGAGACAACAGTGAGAGGAGGACCTAAGGGACTGCGCAGGAAGTCACGTCTCTTCGGGCGCAGGAAGAGGAAGAAGATGAGTCCTGATTCTGAATGAACGGGAATGCACGTTCTTGGGAGGATCGGATTGAGAATTCGAATGACGACTGGGCTATGTGAATGGGTCGCTGGCTCCGTAACGCGTGAGTTATGTGGGTTTTTAATACGGGCGTGCACGCGTGGCTGACAATGAGAAAGGCTGAGCTCGTTGTCGAGAGCGGCCGAGTTGGACTCCGTGAGATCGATTTCGGCTTGATCGACGTGAAAGGTGTTTCGTGGAGGAACGAAAAACTTGGGAGTCATGGATCGACACTCGGGTCGGCTTCTTTGAAGTGACGGATGAGATAGCGGAGCATTTGCTGGGCAGCTGGGTTTTACTTTTTCGTGAAAAGGTCATTGGAAGTGAAATAAGGGAACTGAGAATGTCAGGTAATTAATCTAACGTGGGACACGATTTGATTGCTGGATACTAAATACTCGCTCGAGCGAAACGATTGGTTGCCCATAACGCACCGCAAATCTCAACGGACTCGCGCCTGTGACAGTTCGGTTAAGCTGGTAAATAATAGACTTCATCGGCGCATCGAGTAACGTGATCTGCACCCACCTACGCTTGCGGACATTGGATATTCTCTTAGGATCAATCACTGATTATCGCTAGGATTTTCCATGTGAATTGACGTAATTATTTTTCATATGGATTTTTTTATATTAATTTTATAAAGAGACCTGTTAGTTCAGTGCTCAACTTGAGATTCAGTGAATGAAAACTGAAAGTGCACGGTTCAATAGGCGAACAGATTTTCGAATCTGCGCATGGAGATAAGAAGACCTGGAGAATTTACCGGAATCGCGTCATGCGACTTCATTGACACGCTGATAGTTTTTGTTGGCTTTGAAACATCGTCGGTATTGACTAGCAATTGTCTAAGAGGTCAACCGGAAGAGGATCGGCATTTGTGACCCATCCGAAATGGCACAACCGAAGCTATGAAATCGGGATTTAATTATTGGTACATTAATAAGTGAACTTGATGAAAATATTTTTCACCGAGGACATTTAATACTAAGACTAAAGTCCGTTATCCTTTGAATTTAAAACTAGCCTTTCATTGACTTGCGTCACTTCCGGCTCACTTGTTTCTACACCTGTAGATACGTCACGCGACTCTTTTAAATTTTCGAAATTCACTTATTCCTATCTGCGTCAGGATTTTTCTAGGTACAAGGATCAGGCTCTTTCTCTCTCTCTCTCTCTCTCTTCCACTCACACTCTTACTCAGGGGTCAAATAAAGTCCAGCCTGGTATCAAGCTACGCGTTCTCCGGCAATCGTTCTGTACAATTTCTTCATTGCTCTCAAGGATGCCAATAGCACCTATAACGCCCAGCATGTGGCGATCCTCGAGAGGGTTCATTACCGAAACGAATTTGACTGCGTATAAGTCGAGGCAGTTAGGAAGAATTTCTGTGACCCGAGTCCCATGATCCCACGATTCCACGAAGAGTATCCAGAATCATGGAAAAAATTCATAAGCGTCATATCCTACTGACACGTAGGTCGGTACGAGACTAGAATTTTCAAAATCGCGTAAAGGCAGTCACGCCAGAGGACTGGTTATACGTCGACATCCGTGTACCTCGCTGATCCTGTTTTCAGAGAATTTCACTTTCCCCTCTGGACTTCCACGAAAACGAGTTGGCCGGCCATTTCGATTCTCTCCTTTTCTCTCTTCCCGCGTTTCTCTCACGTCCACGCATGTAAATTTCAATGCCGCTGGCCGACGCGATTATCGCGCTACGACGCGAAACGGAACAAGACAAGATAAAATACATATGCGAGGTCAGAGGGCATCTGCCTCGGGCCATCAGCATTGCTAATGCAAACAGTGACGTCTTTCACGCGCCGAGCGCCCTCGACCAAAAACGAATGAAGCCAACAGTAAGATTTAGGCACCGTCCAAGACGTTTGATACAGCGATGAGTTATTCAAAAAAAAAAAAAAAATGAAATGCCATCGCGTCAAGATTCCAGCAGGTGACAAGTACGGGCAGAAGAATACAGAATCCTTTCCCTGGACCAACAAGGATCTTTACGTTAACTCGCCAGTTAACCCAGGGCCACGCGCACACATGGCCAAGCACTGAAATGTCCTTCGCGTACTTTTAGCAGGAAAAGAGACGACTGCCTTTGAAATGGATGAATAACTACAAGGACCATGAAAATTTCCATTGCCTCCCAAATTCAAGAAAGGATCTCAGCCTTCTCGATTCCTTAAACCAATCTTCGTCAAGGTCGTATCTTTCTGGTGAAAATTCATTAAAACGTGAATCCTCGCGAACGCCCGGTTGAATATCGCGAAACGAGGGAGGAATGGACGAAGACGAAGGAATGGACCGACGAATTGCAGTCACTTTGTAGGAAATAATCGTCGGACCAGACGGCAAGCTCCTCTGGTATTCGAACGTCGCCGGCGACCATTGGACCATTAACGGTTGCAGTCGACAGGAAGTTATCGCCCAGTAGCATTCACCGAGTATTCCTCAAACCTGGAGAATTTCCTGAATGAAAAGGGATTCGAGCTACCAGGAGACAGACGTGTAATACGTAACGTATGGACGCGAGAAGGAAAACGCGAGAGGATTATAAATGTGATTCAATATTATTACGTGCGGTAAGTCCTACGTGCTGTATTAAATCTGTTCGTACGGAGGTGCAGTTGCAGCGCATAAAGTCGAGTATACAAAAAATTTCGCAACTGCAGAGCGAAAGTAGAAACCGTTGAGAATCACAATGGGGGATCTTACGAGAGTGACTGATCACTTGACCTATATATTTTAAACAGCATCTTTAAGGATTCGCTGAATTATTAAATATAACAAGATAAGCCCACTCAACAGTCAAAATTCGTACTACGTACGTCCTTGAAAATAAAACTGATCTGACTTACTATCGAGACTTTCATCTGTATTATTTCTGTTCCCTTTGTAAATCCTTATCGAAAGTAGCGAAATTGAGCTTCTTTAAAATTATAAATCTACTCTGGCCAAGGTTAGGGCACTAAATCATTAGTCGTTCTCGATGATGTACGAGCGCAGCAGAAGATTACACTGCCAGTACCTGGATTACCTGCTCGTCTGATTAACCCATTGCGTAACGAGAGGAACGAAGGAGCCCAGACCACGTCGCCGCCTGTGCGTTCGTCTCCCGCTTCCGCGCGCGCGTCTACGCAGTTGCGTCTGCGTGGCTCAGCACGGAATAACAGGTGTCTAATCACAGCATCTCGTCTGCCTACGACCCAAGAAGGACCATAGACGCGACGACGAGAGTCACTGACACTCCTATATTTAGTATCAATGACTCCGTTACACTTTGGACCAGATCCTCGTGACTCTGGTTCTCGGAGCTTCGAATTCCCTAGACCTTCTTTCGTTCACCCTTCGAAAATGCCTCTACGTAAATCAGAACCGAGATTGCTAGACAGCGACGGAGCAAACGAATTATTCCGACAGCCGGCCAATTACTTCATGTAGACTGTTCTTTGACCTTCGTGGTCATAAGAATATTTTTCAGATGCTTTGCACGAGTGCAAAATGATTAAGGATCGTGAGCGCACTGATAACTACTACAATGCCTTTTACAACACGACCACAAACGCAGTTGCTTATGGAAGCAGAAAGAGTGTCTATGGATTGGGTCCCATTTGATCCGGTCAAAGTGGTCGGAACGTCGAGTAGATTTTTGAAATTTTTTTTCTCTCGGCTCACTGCCGAGCATTTTCAAAAATCAATAGAAAAGACCATTGAACAATTTCGTCACTCTCGAGGAATCGCGACCGAGCTGGAAATTTGAAACGGAAGCACTTTGAGGGACACACGTAGGCACATAAGAGCACACGCACTTTCTTCGCACTGTCATCCAAACTTCCCGGTCGGATCTTCATCTTACCTCCTGGAATAAATCCTAGATAAAACCTCCGAGAGGTCCTGCTGGAGCTGAGGATGGAGACGGTGGTATCCTTATATGTTCGGCAAACGAAGAGCCAAGATCGAGTGGCTGAAAGGATGTGGCTCTTCCTCAGGTAAGGTTGACCTCGCTCGAAGGGTTCCTGGGTCAGCTGAACCTCTTGCCTCTTCTTCTTCCTTCCGCAGCCTCTGGCCCCCTTCGCACTGCTCAACTCGCTCAGTCCAAATAAGTTCAAGGAAAGCCGGTCGATCGATCGTGGATCAATTCTACGATACGAATCTATCGCAGGCTGAGGTCGACATAGGACTGCGGCTCGACTTGACTACACTCTTTCACTTGGCCGGCCAACTCGCTCGAAACCCCCACTAGCTCCACTAGGTGTGTGTAATCGGTCTTGCTGAACCGAGAACCGGGAACCGAGAATCGTGGAACCGTGGCACCGTGGAACCGTCTCGGAACGCGCCGTTCTCGTCACGCTGCAACGTTCTTATCGAAGGAGATCGCACTTGCTCGATTAGCATCTAACCGCAAAGACGAGGAGGGAGCTCGGAATACTCGAATTTCTGCAATAGGAATTTCCAGAGTAGTAAACACTCTGATCGATCGTCTCGCAATTACTCGATGAAAACACAATTAGTCTGTATAAAATTACACGCTAGAGCGGTTGAGATCTATAGGACCTCCACCCATGGAATTGTCCGTTTTAGTCTGTTATCTTTTTTTCATCGGGAATATGATCTCGGCAAACCGTAAAATCACTGCCGACCCGTCACGTCCGTCTAAGCGTTCCTAAACGCACGTGGCGTCCAGATCGATTTTAGAAGAGCAAAGGACTCTTGCCTCTCGGAAGGAGTGATCCTGTCTCGGCAGTGGTTCTCAATGCTCGGAGAATCCCGATATCCGCAATCCGTGCGAGTGAAATTGAAACGAGCAAAAAGCGCTTTGGTTATCGAAGGCTAAATAGTATCGCGCGATTCGTTTGCATTTTTCGACCTAGAAAACGACTCGGCTTGTGCACTGCTTGAAACACAACGAGTGGCTGGATTTATTAGCTCAGGCTGAAAAATATCCTCGTAACTCGGCTAGAAATGAGTTTCGTACTTTTTGTGCCAACGTGCTTCGTGCGATCGATACGTGGACGAGGAAGAGACCAATTAAAAATAGTAAAAAGAGAATTTTCTAATCGCGCGAGGGAATTCGAAAGTTCGTTAAGAATTACATAGGCGTGTGGACCGTGGGGACGTTGTGGATGATTCGATGTCGAACGAGGGTGCCAAGCTCTTCCAGGAGCGGATCTCAATGTGAAGGCCCCTTTACCCGTTATGTCTTAGAGAGGAGCACTTAGGTAGACCGTAACTCTATAACATAAGCGTGCCAGTTGGTGGTAAATTTGCGGATGCGTGCAATTGGCATCGCCTGTGTCCTGCGTCCAACTCTATATATACCTATATCAACCAACCAATCGGCAGCTATGAAGCAGTTAACTTAATATAGACACACTTTAAATGTATGCCATCGACGACCTCGAGGCCTTCCTAGGTCAGTGCTAATTCGCAGGATTCCAAATGGCAGTCCGATTTCGCTCAAAAATCAAATCCAACTTTGACACCCATTGGACTCTACAGTCTTTCACTCTCGGTTGCATAATAACAGAACCAATTGCTCGGCAGCTCCTCTCTTGTTTACCTTTTCTTTTTTTCCGAATTCTAATTCACACATCCCGAGAATGACGATTTGTAACGAGTGAAGAACCCCGGCTGGACCAAGGCCGAGAGACTGAATATTCTAGCTCTTAAAATACATATTATTTACGAATGAACGACGCACATACGTTCACAATGATGATCTTTTTTTGTCTTTTTCATAAAGCGGTGCAAGGTCCAACCGACGTCATAGTTCACTTCGTTGTTCTCAATAGCGAGAAATACTTATGACAGCTACTTATCATTCTCCGAACCTCCAGGAAAGATGATCCTCAGCGTCGATTAAACGAACGACGATAATCACGAGAAACGTGTGAGACTTTTGTACGTTGACGCGTCAGACCGACTGGTAGATACAGCACGTGTGCTGGATTAACGGCAAACTGCGTGACTGCGCTCGGTTGCATTTGTCGCTGGACATTGGCGGTTCCGCATTCGCCTCTGCAACTGGAACGAGAGCGAGTCAGGTTGCCTTTAGTCGCGAATGAGCATTTACCAAAAATGGCTAAACGGATAATTGGCGGTTTGCGGCCAAAACGGTTTATCGGGAACATCGGGTTAAGGAGGCTGCGAGAAGACGACATCAGAGAAATCTTATGATTCTGATAAACAGTTGCGCTGCTGTTGAGAGAGGCTGTGGCGGCTCCAGTCTTGATAAGAACCGCCTGCCAAGACCCTAAAGCCTAAGGTTAAGGCAGCCGGTGACGTAAGTCAGCAAGGTGCGTCGTACGATGTCCTCTTAAGGACTCAATCGATGGACTTGACCTGCCCACGGCGATTCGGCTGAAGCGGAGATCGAATTTTAAGGTTCGGAAGGCAGAAGAGAGAGAGAGAGAGAGAGAGAGAGAGAGAGAGAGAGAGAGAGAGAGAGAGAGAGAGAGAGAGATGACGACTTGCTGACGATCTCTATAGAATTAGAGGCGTCTCTCCCGGGACTCTGACCCACTTTAATTACCTAAATAAATGGTCCGAGACCAGTGGACTTCCTGACGGATGATGTCCTGTGTGAACTGTGTACTTTGCCACAAGACCAGAAGCGAACCGTGCTGCTCTGCCACTCGATTACTTGTATCAATAACTTTTGAAAATTTCTCCAGAGCATCCGGACCCACATCGAGTCGTTGGTAAACGATAAGAGACTTCAGAATGTCTGAAGGATGCTGTTTGCTATCACAAATACATTTCTTTAATGAGTCCAAAATTTGATATCTGTTAATCCAAAATAACATAGAAAGCAGCAGAGAAGAAGGAATGGAATCCCGTGACGCAAGAAATACAAAATTGTAAACTCCTACGAACTTCTTGACGTGTATCGATACGTAGTTTTTCCCTAGGATTCCCCTGTCTTACCTGTTCAGCTGAGAATTAATGACTTCACGGTGAACGAGAAAGAAATCTTTTTTTGCTGTTGTAAAAACTGACGCCACTTTAGAATTTAGAGGCTTCACCTCCGGTATCTATTGATAATGGATTACCAGATAAGGCGATAAGCGATATCTCTCCGATTAACGATCGGCAGTTTGCGTCACGCAATCGCTGACTGTCAGGTTTGCCCAGTACTCTTTTTAATCGTTAATGGAATTCGCTGGAGATGGCTCCCCCCTCTCTGGCTCTCTCTCTCTCTCTCTCTCTCTCTCTCTCTCTCGCACCAAAGTACTTACGTCATTCCCTGCCATATATCTCTTTTTCTCTCTCTCGCTCTCCTTGACTGACAAAGTCGACTCCTCTCATTGCCCAATTGTTGTGTCGCTTTTACGAAACATATCGCGTAAATAATTCGCGTCTGCTTCGACTGCGCCGAACTTCCTCGGCTCATTGAAATAAACGGCTGATCAAGTGGTGCGCGTCAAAGTATTACGTTACAGATTACAGTTGGACGTTACACCCACGAAGTGGGAATGCCAATGGCAATGTTAATGTTAATGGAGTAACTTCCCGGACATGACGAATTTCACGAACAATCGTCAGCTGACAATGACATTGCTGCCGTCGCTGCCGTCGCCGCCGTCGGACGTCGACTAATTTTTTACGTTTCAAAACTGATAGGAAAACCTTGATAAGTCCTCGAGGTGAATTCTCTGTGCCATCTCGACTGCTGGACTCTTCTTTTCAATCGAATCGCTGCGTGTAACAATTGAAAAAGAAATTCGACGAGTCCAAGTGGAAAACATGCAATGCCACTAACAATAAGAGTAACATCGCAGAATCAGGGAATCCTTACGCAGCGACCATGTAAATTTACCGACAAACAATTAGTATGCAAAAGCGAAATAATCATTTCCCGCACAAGGTCACGTACGCTCTCTCTCTCTCTTTTCTCGATCGATCGATCCAGTAAACTTGGGTGTTCCGGCAAATCTTTCTATTAATAGGAAACTGTCGTGGAATCGCACTTTCTATTCTCACTGGGACAGAGTCCACGAGTCTAGTATCCTAAAGTTCCATCTGGACGCTCGAGCGTCTCGCGTCGCTTTTACTTTTATTTATAAAGCACCGACTATCCCAGCTAACTCTCTTTGCTCTCTCTGTCCGACTATTAATAAAGGAGAGAAGACAATGCTCTGACCCGTCCCGAATGTTAAACTCGGTATCTGGAACACTGAAAAATTTCAAGGTAAACTCGAGCACGACCCATTCAAAGCACGTAAGTCTAAATAAATGGTTGCAGAAACCTTTTTATAAAAATTATTCTAGGCCTGCTAGTAATCCTAAATTCTATTGAATTACATTGTTGCGCCACGTCTACCACTACGTGATCCCGAGACGCTTATCACGCGTTTTCGATCGACTCAATGAAAAGCTAAAAAAAAAGCAGCCAGAAAAACATAAATATATGCGGCATCAGCAGCCGAGTTCAAGATCACAGCCCCGCACGGAAAAAGTGTTACAAGGTAAGTAACAAGTTAGAAACTTCTTTCTCTGAGCCGCGAGCAATAATTAGCTCCCGTTGCGTAAAGCAACGTAATTACATTTTCAGGCCGTTATTAACGGACGATAAGTTACGTCGCTACGCGTATATATGCATACTGGCTACGATACGCCGTAGCCTAGTGTACATCTCATAGTAAACAACGCACTCTAGAAATCCGTGCTGCGTTCACAAGTGGCGGCGTGACGCGCTGGCGACGATTCGCGTCGCAGGAATAATCACTCGCGTGCGAGGCGCGATTCGCGCTTTGGAAAGGAGCACGAATGAATGTGCAGGTAGAGGATGCGAATTAACGAGGCAGGTGACGCGCGTCTTGGGACGCAAGTAACGTAATGAGTTACGTCGGCGGGGAGCAGGAATCCCGGCCGAATTAGCATTTATATCGCGACAACGACGAATCGCCACTCGCGATGCCAGCAGAATTTCAGCTGCTAACTAGTCGACGCGCGATCGACCGAGGAATCTCGTGTAAACTCACAATGGCCACGGTGGCTCATGATCCTGGACCCGTGAGACTCTCTCATGGAGGTAATGGCTGAGCGATTGCAGTCTTGTCGTTTCTTGGAAACATAAACGACTCTTGTATATATAGGCATACGAGTATCGGATACAGGCTGGTACGTTGGTTGCGCCAAGAATTTTCTACTTCCGATTTCTTCCTTTTATATCCGGTGAGACGGTTTTACTCCATTTACAACTTTTTTTTTCTTTTTTTCTTTTTTTTTTCTTCTTATCTATGGATTATTCATTTATCTATGTAGTCTTTGGATGTCGATCTTGTGTATTTCTGTACCTGGTATTAGGGCCACGACTGTACCATTTAAGGAGGCTGTCGAGAATGAGATCTCTGTTTTCATGTATTACGCATTGACACCTCTCCTTAGAAAGTGATTGTTACGTCACGCGCATGCGTGTCTCGGTGCGTGGTGTGAAAGATTACGTATCCAGAAGAGTGGGTGCACGTGACTTTTTTTCTCTCTCGTAAACCGCATGCTTCGATTATGGAGACTGGCTGTAAAGATTTTCTGTAAGACTGGAGAGATATCTACGATGGGGAACGATCCGTTCCAGTCGTTCTTGAGAATGCTGCATTTTTACGTGGGACTGGGATTTCAGTTTTTGTGAAGTAATCGTGCAGGGACACGAGACGGAGTTTGGAAGTTAAGAGATGGAAGGCATATTTTTATATGACGAATTTCATTAAAGAAATTGAGTAAAGACAAGGTAAACGTAATCAACCTACTAGGATAACGAAAAAAGCATTGTCTGACAGATTGCACGTAATGAATTTTCAAACGAGCCTTTAGGTCCAACCTACGCGTTTAACTTTGAGGAATGTAGAATTTTAGTTGAAAAAATGAAAAAAAAATTAATTTTAATTAATCGCGTGTGTCGGGCTATTACGTAATATTATGTAATATTATAGGTATTACAATATGACAGTTTACGAGCTGCGGGAGGTGCATCGTTGCACTGCCAAGAAGCCGGTCATTACCTTCCTCTATCTCCTCGTCACTCTCGGGCGCAATAACTTTCCTTTTATAAGTTATTACCAGGAGCGTCCCGGCGCTTTGCTTCTTGCTGGAAAATGCAAGTTTAAAGCCTTTAAATTCCTCGCGGCTTCCTAACTTGCTGGATACGCGTTCCAGGCTGAATTTAGATGTTCAAATATCTCATAGCTGTTTTCCATACGTTTTTCGGTATTTCGTACTGGATTTGGATAAGAAAAAAAAAAATCTAAAAAACCTCCTTTTCCTTACATACACACGTACTGTAGTTGTATTCTTGAATCGAGTGAGCAAGTAGTTCAGGGAATCGAATTGACTTGACAATTCGAGTAGATGACATATTTTTCTACGAGCAAGAGTCCACGGCGATAACGGCGACGCAAATAACCGTCACCTTATCTGATAAGAGACTCGTGATATCACGTACAAATTTGATAAATTTTCTTTATTACTGAAGAAATGTGACGGTACCGTTGAAACATTACGTAAAGGAATGATAGAATATAAAGGTTCGTGGACCGACGCGAATTCGATCTACAATTATTTCACTACAGGGATGACGTATATACAGATACACGTGCTGTAGCTATCTGTATTCTATTAATACTATCCATCTTTGTGGATATCTTATACGTGAGATCGAGTATGCATCAGAAGGTAATGAACTGTTCTGGCTCTGAAACAAAAATGACTCAGGGACGCAATCAACTATCTTTTTGACATTGATAATAAATCCCATAATCTTTCTACTGAACTTTCGAGCGTTTCACGTAAGATCCTCAGTGGTAAATTCTTATCATGCAGTTATCAATGAAATTCATGAATTCCGGTAAACAACTTACTCACCAGACTCCGCTGCTGCCGCTGCTACTCCTGGAACGTCTTCTGGCTGACTTCGTTCTAGACGCACCCTTAGTCACTATCTAAGTACAACAAATCAGAGTGCTTTGTAAATAGATGCTCGGCAATTCGAGGCACGAGAAAAAAGAAATAATCAACCGCTATCATTAACACGGTACCGTGAAGCATGCGTGGAGATTCGACTCATTGATACAGTATACTCAGGATTTTACATGGTCAGTCATTTCTTTAAATCAATAAGTGATTTGTCATTTGATTAATTTTTTCGAGATCGATAAATTCTTTATCAATTTTTTAAAAAATTTTGACGTATTTTGATTTCTTGATAATTCATTATCGCGTTACCTTGCAACGATTTCTCATGAAATTAAGTATTTTTAATAAAATTTTTATAAAATAAATTGCAAGCATCTAAAATTATTTTACTAATTTAATAAATTTAATAATTTTCATTCAGTGTTATCATTATCATTTTATCGAATGTTCAGTATACCGATCGAACAGGCATCACGAAGCAGTTCGATTATCTGAAAGCAGATGACAGTCTGTCAAATATTGAATTGCATTACAGATACCTGACTTTTCAGCTATCGCTAACAGTCTCGGCAACGCTCAATAGTTTTTTAAAGTCGGTGAACTCAAATTTTGATACATTTAATTTTTCTTAAATTTTGTCAATGCCCGAATGAGAAGAAAGGACCTGACACAATTTTAAGCCTGAAAGTTCAGCCCACCAGGTACAATATCGACAGCGCACTCCAATTCGGAGAACATCACTAGAGGCTGGTAGAAGATGGCAGCACAACGACGACCTGTTACCTGAACTACCTGAATGCGTGATCCCCCCTTCGACAGCATACTCGACCCTGAGGGGCCCAGTGGCCCCACTCCTGCAGGTTTTGTAGTACGTAGCTTCAGAAATTCCAAGAGCTCGCTGCGCTACGCGTACCACCACGACTACGACTACAAGAACTCCGAGGAACATTCAAGAATAAATAACCTGTCATTCACTAGGGACTAAATTACAGGACCACAGGAGAGGAGGAGGTAAGTCCCCAAATATTACAAGTTTACTACCGTCGCCATTATGACAATCGAGAATCGAAAGCATATTCCGGGTCTGTTAATCGGTAAAATCGTCCGCGGTCTCTTCGGTCGAAATGGCTGCTCCGCTTCACTGGATTCCATACGAACAGACAGCGACTCCTCACGACTCTCGAAATTCAATTGTCGCGAATCGTTGAATATGTTTATTTACCTGTATTAAAAAATGCACGTAAATTTTATGAAAAAAAAAAAAAAAAAAGAAAACAATTTCTCGATTACCGTCTTACCAGTGAATACCAGTGATTTCCTTGAAATCTCCAAAAGTGTCATCGATTTCGTAATGCTCGTGAGTCTTTGCACGTAGACTTTGAAAATGGAATATTAACGGGGATTCGGGAATTTCTTAACGTCCTGTAGGAATCTGAATAATCTCTGAGCTATCGGATTCTTCGGTGGGTGGCCGTGGATGTTGACAGTTTACACTAGATGCCGACCGAGCGCCTCACGATACTCCTGAACATCGCGATCCTCGTACAAAAATCGTCATCGAATTTATGACGTCATATCCGGACTTACTCGACCAATGTACACAGCTTTGTATAATTTCCCTCTGAGTGCCACTTGATTCTTGTAATTTGCTCCGAAACTGATCGCTGTGCGTTTCGCTAGGATTCTTCCTGTTTCCGATCCTAGATACATGTACATATTTAGGCACAGACGTATTCATGGTCAAGGCGTCGCGACGCAGACGCAGCCTCTTCGAAACGTGTTGAGTCATTTTCATCGTGGCTCCATTTCGAGTAGGGTATAAAATTGAGCAAAAAGTGCATTCTATATTTAGCCTTGATTGTTGCCTTTTAGATTTCACTAAGTTTTCCGCATTCCGCGTTGAGCGCAGGTAGAGCGGAGAATGTCACGTGAAGAAAATGGTTATAGAAGTACCTGCTGAAAGCCATTACGTAGGTGAGGTTTAGTTATCGATAACGGTACGATAAAAGCTAGGTACACGTACGCATTGACAAGATAGTCTAGAAAAACGAGTGTCAGAAGGCAGCCTAAGAAGGAGAATTTAGAGGCTGGAAATTATGTAAAAAAAAAAGGTGGGGAACAAACGAGGTCTAAGAAATCGTTAAGCATTGAAGCGTCACGTCGACTAGTCATTGTTGCGAAATTTTTTGAAAAATTAAATAATTTTCATGCTAGCCTAATTATTATCAAAATTATTTAAGTGTACGGACCATATGGAGGTTCTATCGACGTAACATCGTACATCTAAGAATGTTGATCGTAGCCCAGAAGCAGTCAGTGATTCAATATCAAAAAATTAAATAAGAAACGCGTGTATGTTTCAGCCAAGGGATTCTTATTCCCCGAGTAAATATATTTTCCTGAAAAATTAACGAGCGACAATCCTTTGCGCATTCCGCGAGAGAGGAGGAAAGTGCAGCCACCTTAAGAGCAATGGCGATCGGAGACGAAACAAACATACTTTTGTACGCGCGAAGCAAATATAGTGATAAGGCTGATGATAAAACCCTGTGCCCGATATCTTTGTGATAATGGAGTTGATACCGCTTTAGTAAAGGCAATCTGAAGCGGATAGAATCGTTGCCTGGTAAAAGCCTAACGAGCGAAATTTGGCAAATTCACCAGAACGATTGGCAAGGATATTTTTAAATTTTGACAGTAACGAGAAATACATTACAGCGGGCAGCAAAGACTGCATTCGGATGGACAGCTTTGAATTGCGAAATTGCGAGAACCGAAATCATTGACACCGGTATAGCGGTGACTGTCGCAAATTGCGACATCACCGTTCATTTTTGCAAGGTTGTCACCCGAGTGGTGCAGTGCTGCGGCTTAAAGGTGTGCACCACACCACGAATCAATTGGTCTTTGTCGCACGAACGACGCGCGAAACTGCGTAATGTCATTCGATAGTAAAAGTTCATTTAGCACTTGCTAATAAAAAAATTAAATTGGATAATAACGTTTTGAATGAAATTTACGAGCGATTAGCAAGTTTTATTTAAACGCTTTACACCGATGAGGAAATATGGTCTATGAGTTGAGACATTTTTTAGAAGGCATTGTCAGGGTTTACGGTCCCCGTGAGGCCCTTTGCTTATTTGATCCCATGAGGGATGAGCATGGGACCACCTGCTTAGTTCACAGGTAACTTTACCTGGGTTGCCCTGGAGCAGAAAAATTGTACGGAGGAACAAAGGGCCCGTCAGGCCCAGCTGGTACTCGTACCTTCCGTACGTTCTATAGGCTCTTCGAGAATACAAGTACCTGCGGAGACTCTGGGGCTGCTGTGTATTTCTTGTTCTTCATCGAAATGCCTATTTTACCAAAATTCCAATCCTACCGCATTGTAATCCTAGTATTGGAAATGGGTCGGTAGAGACCCAAGGTACAGCGAACCCACGTCCCTTTGTAATCGTCCCATCAACTTTCTCGTCTCGTTCCACCATCGGATAAAATCTCCAAATAGACTTTCTGTATTCATATCGAATAAACGAGATTACCAACCTAACAACCTAAGAACGTAACAAAGCAACCTTGCCTGGAACCGTAATGATAATAAAAATCAGTCGCGTCGAACAATAAAAATCGGCGATTTATCGTTCTATGGGTCATCAACTTACGTATAGTGCTTATACCAATAAGGAATACTAATGCAGTATCGGACATATATTAAACACGGTATATCACTTAGAAGAATTCTTCCTGATTAAAGCTGTCATTCAATATTAATTTCAATACAGCTACATCAAAAAGACGATGCATAACACGCGTTCAAAATGATGCGTTATCTCGAGATCGTTGATAATAATAATCTCCGGCTAGAGGATACATTAAAGAGCAAATCATGGCAACTATTTCGTCTCTCGATTATTCGCAAAAAAATGTTATCGCCGTAGGCGAAGATCGGCCAGGTTCAGGATTGTCGCACGAAGTACTTCTAGATAGTGCACAAAGAACATGACGATTCGCAAAAGTAACCAAAGTTCGCGAACGGCTGATGTTTCCATGCAAAATGCCAAGAGCAAAGTATAATGTGTCTCATTGTTATCAGTAAGTACTGAGGACTCGAAGATTCTCAGGTGACTACTGCGTAATGTCTACCGTCTGAGCTGTAAATTGTAATGAAAACCATGTCGCTACATGCAGGCAGGCCTGAGCTATGCTAGTGGAGGGGATTGCATATCTGCTTGAAGAGTGACGTTCGATATTTTTCTATCTGACCCACATTCCACAAAGATCCTAGAGCTATTCAATATATATACCATAAAAGATATACTGGATGCTGGAAAACCGCTGGTGTCTCTGAATCACGTGATAACGCATGATTGGCTGATTAGGAAGAAAAATGTTTTTAGAATTGTTTGAGAGCCATAAATGGACGCCATTCGAAAGATGTGAAAACCCCTCTTGATAAGGTAGTTTAATAGTGGCGTCGATTTACGGAACAACGAGTCATCTGCGCCGATAACGATCCTGATAAAAGGCGCAGACACATGCTCAAAGTTCAAACCCAATACGCACACGCACTCAGGATCTGTTGCTACGCGAAAGAGGCGTGGATCGTGCTAATCGATTCTTTCACGCGTCAGAACAACACTATTCGGATAAGCCATTACTTTTCTTGCGTGTGATTCTGCCTTTTCTATCTATACGTTTTTCGTAATCGTCCTCACGGTACAATATCCAGGTAAATCTGTTCTTTGCTATTCGGCGGTGTATGTCGAGTGTTTGTGTTTATCTCAATGATCAAAAGTCCCAAGTGCTATAGTTGCATTCGCCCCCCCTCCCGCCCCGCCCCCCTAACAACCTTTTACTGCGCGTGTAATCTCTCGCCCGTTTCACGGATGCTGCGAGCCGAGCGCAGACGCACGATTGACGCTGTCCAATCAGTGAAGAGTCCCAGGGTCCGTGAAGGGGAGACTTCCTAAATACTAAACTATGTCGATGCTCGACTGTCACTATCTAGTACATCAGGCCCAAAAAAAACTGAGAGCCTGTGTTGAAGGCGTTTCTTCTGGAGATCATCGATAATTATTTCTTTAACGGACTGTACTTTTTAAATTTTCTACATTTGACAAGGTCCATAAGTTGGATGCGTAATTCGTGTTTTGTAAAATTTCATATCTTATGTGTTTTATAAATCGCTTAAGAGTTCCTGATTGGATTGCTTTTCTTTTTTTTTTTTAGAGCAAGATACACGATGAAGGGAAAAGCAGCTTTGCTGCTGGCGATTTATTTGGCGACTGCAGTATCCGCTGGTACTACTACAGTCGACCCACCAGAGTTCCATGAGTCATCTTCTGGACCACTAGGTCCACCCGAGCTACCGCCGAAGGAGTTCCTCCCAATTGATTCTGATCCATCATCTACGAGTTCTTCGATCGAAATTTTTCATTCAAGTAATGAGGAACAGAATGTACTCGTGCCCTCAAAGGTGCCAGTGGATGCTTCCGGATATTCAGAAAGTCCAAAACTGTCAGAAGCTCAAGGACCAAACGTTGGTTCCGCATATCGAAAAACTCGACCGCCGCCAGCTGTGCCATCTAAACCAGAGTTAACCAGCTCTAGCTTTGACTTCGAGCATATTGCTTTGCCATACCTGAGTCCCAAGGATAATCTTCTGCAGGAGATTCGCTCCCTGGAGGAGCAGACCACCAATCAAAAGGTTGGTACCTCGTTGTAAAAATAATATCAGACTCCGAGGCGTTGGTCCATGTTAAATAAACGTCCGATTTGTCTTGTTAGATTCAGGAAGAATTGGGTAAGGCCATCAAAGCCGAGGCCCTGAAGTATCCAATTTACGAAAACTCCAGTACGATGGAAAGTAATGCTCTGAAGAAGCTCCTCGAGGAGGAGGATGTCTACAACAACGACCTCGAAGAAGACGAGGAAGACGAAGACGACGATGATGATGAATACGACGACGACGACGACGTGGACGACGATATTGACGAAGAAGACATGACGAATTGTCCCCAGTATTGTAGGTGCGACGGACAATATGCTGCAGCTACAAAAGCCAGGTATGAAAATCTTATCAGGTGATCGCGATTCACCTCTTTGGACAAATAATCCAAACGAACTCGACACTATACGCGTTTATCAGATTATTTTCGAGAAAAAAAAAAAAAAAAAAAAAAAAAAAAAAAAAAAAAAAAAAAAAAAAAAAAAAAAAAAAAAAAAAAAAAATTTTCGTGTCACTATCTCATGTTGTATTCTAGATGCTCCAAGCTCACGGACGAACAAACGTTTACTGGTGAAATAGCTCATCTGATAATCGAAAATGCTGGTGACATCCGACTGGCAGATCACGCCCTACGTGCTCGCGGACTTAAGCACGTGGAATCAATAACGATCGTGGACACCAGAATTTCCGAATTGAATCGCACCGCCTTCGACGGAATTCCATTCCTGTTTGCAGTGAATCTCACCAGGAACGGTCTGATCAGGGTTCATCCGGATACCTTTCGGAACAATAGTCAACTCAGTTTACTGACTATTTCCGGAAATCCAATTCAGTATCCTCAGATGAGAGGAAACGTCGGCAGATTCCTCTTAGACGCACCGTCTGTCACTGAATTTGACTTTTCGAACAATGGAATCGGCCGCCTTCCGGCATATGCTTTTTTAAAAATGCCTAGTCTCACCTACATTAATCTCAGTGGAAACAAGCTCAAGAGCGTCGAAAAGGCTCATTTCAGTTCTCTTCAGTCGCTGGTTGAACTTGATCTCTCGGAGAATCAGATCAGCGGATTTCCAATGGATATTTTCAACAATAAGGGTCTCTATACTCTTCGTGTTTCAGGTAGACAAGAATATTTAAACTATAAGTACCGGTTATTATTACCGAATAATTTTGTAAAAATTTAAATTTTGAACTCTTTGCACAGGAAACAGTCTGTCCACTTTGGCGGTCATCAGGGCTTCCAAACTGACGAGTCTACATGCATCCCGCAATAAGATCAAGATCATAGCCAAGGATGACCTCATGTTCCTTCCTTCCTTGGACGAGTTAATACTGTCATCGAACGGCTTGAAAAGAATTCATCCGCACGCGTTCTCTGGTCTCAATCAGCTTACCAAATTAGATATCAGTGACAACAAAATCACATCATTGACGGAGCAGCACTTCAAGTCCAATTCCAGACTTCAGATCTTGCTGATGAATGACAATCCAGGTCTAGAAACGCTGCCCGTCTTTAAGACTGAAAATCAGGAGTATGAAACTTTCAGGTACATTACATTTCAAATTAACCGGCTGGCGAAGCAATAGCATCTTAATTTTAAATTCAAAATATTGACAGTGTCTACCGCCTGGAGTGTGCTGGTTGCGGATTGTCCTATCTCGAAAAAGATACTTTCAATGCCATGCCTGCTATAACGTCGCTGAATTTGTCGAGAAACCGCTTGGCCAGGCTTCCCGAGGGACTCCTGAGCCAGCTGTCCTCCCTTCGCGAATTCGATCTGTCTAACAACATGTTGGAGACACTGGAAAAAAACATGTTCCAAGGTGCTATGACCTTGACCAAGTTGAATCTCGCTGGAAATCCTCTGGTGACCCTGCAGGTCACACCATTCTTTTGGACGCCCAATTTATCCAGACTGGACGTCAGTCGCTGTTCCTTGGAGCGAGTCTGGAGCGAAGCAAGAAAGCCCCTCGAGAGCCTCAGGTATAATTAACATGGAATAGAGTATTAAGAATCATTTTTCTTAAAGCTCACCTCTATTGACATTTAATTTTGTCAAAGGTTCCTGTCGGTTCGTGAAAACCACCTTCAGCGTATCACAATAGAGGAACTGAGGGCGATGCCGAAGCTATCAGGCTTGGACATTTCGCACAACCCATTGGTCTGCGACGAGGAATTTAACCAGGCTATGCAATGGCTGCTGGATCACGGGGTCACACCAACGGAGACTCTTCGTTACATCAGGAATCGTGTAAATATCGAAGACTATGCGGAAGCTCAAGCAGTCGGCCAATGGAGTGATCTTGCCAAGCTCATCTGCGACAGCCTCGACGAAGGACCACCGCCCAGACCAGTTCCGCACAGACCTAATAATCGTCCACCAGTCTCTGACATCCCGCGTGATTCTAATCTTCTGCTGGGAGGAGACGAAATCAACGATAATCAGGTATTTATTGGCTGCGCAACGTTATATTCTCCTGTTGAGATACCTCAGCTAAATGCGAATTATACATCTGCCTGCAGTTCGATTATGGCCAAGGTCAGAACGGCGAGATCGACAACGTCTGGTCATCCCAGGACCAGAAGTACGAATATTACACTGAAGCAAGTCAGCCGCTCTATAATTCTTGGTACAAAGGAACACTCTGGCCGATAGTGACTGTGATAATAGTCACCCTGGCAGTAGTCCTGCTGATAGCACACTGCGCCAGATGCCTAGCACGTCGTCATGGACGTGGTCCGGTACTCAGGGCGCCGATGATGCTTCGCCAGGGTCTGGTCGACAACAAGAACTGCGGCTTGGTGTACAAGTCACTTCAGGAGGAGATCGCCACTCCACAAATGCCCAAGAGAGGCAGCTTCTATTCCAGTAGTACTTTTCACTACGACAAGATCGTGCCAGAGAGCGTATAATTTGTTCAAAAAGCTTTTAACCTTAATAACGAAGACCATCTTCTAGAGTAGACGCAGACTTTCGGCCTGATTGTTATTCAGACACCGATAAAGAATTTTCAAACTAATTTCAAAATCGACGCTCCATGCTGTAACGAGTGACAGTCGTGCCAGCTTGCACTAATATTTCGATAACAAATTAGTAACGAATAGCCAGTTTTCGTTTAGGGTGCTCCCCTATTTGGGTGAGTACCATGTATGTATATTCGTTCATTGCATAGTATATTTGCTGCGTAAGGTATTGTGTTTGAGACAAGCAGAAGGCCAGAGATCCACTAAAAAACATGTCATGTCACATTGATAAAAAAAATACAACAAAATAATTTATACAAGTTCCAAGATTTTTAATTGAAAAAAAAATCGTAATAACGTTCGACGTAAAAGAGGCGTCTCTTACGAATTTTATCGACTTTTGCTATCTAGCAGCTGAGATATCACGAAAAAAAAATATTACTACTTAAACATGCAATACTTAAACTTTTGTTATATCTCGGTAAATAATTTTGTAATTTTACACGCACTGAGACTCATTCCGAATTTGAGAATGGGGCACCCAGTCATAGTAATATATGCAGTAAGATGCGTAATACCATAGTATAACACACTCTATGAATAGTATAATGATTAAGAGCTCGATCTGGGCCGTGCAACTGATTGGTTTATTAAGTTCGAAGGACTAACGTCGATAATTTCCCTACTTTATACTATCCACTGTACATAATATAATAATATTTTAATAAAATTCTGATTATAGCGAAGCATCAGTCCAGGTAAATACGTGCACGACTAGGTACATCAGTTATCGTAAATTCCACAGGTATTATTTTTACGTTAGGGTAAACATATTTTTCAATCGTTATCAGAGATTTGCAAATTTTCACAAACACAACCAACTTCGAGTAAGTCATTGACAAATAGCTTCCCCACCACTCGCGGCCTTGTGCCGTATCGGACGCTGCTGCGAGATAATTCAACAGTGTTGGTGTTCTCGAACATTGACGTAATGGCATGTGTGTTCTTCACCTATTCGATGAGCCAATGCATGTGTGGAGCATGGAGGAGAAACGACGAAGAAGAAGGGATCGAAGCAACGAAGACAAACAGGCAGAAAAGTTGCTCCTCGACAACCGAGCTGGTAGAACGACGCGAGAGATTGGGAACTCGTATTCCCTGCTGATCATTTGGTTTTTTTTTTTTAAATTCTTAATACCGTTTCACTGAAAATGTTGCCAAGAAGACGAGTGGTGGATTTGCTGCAGGTTATTTCGTCACAATCGTAAGTAGAGATGCATCGAAGTGCAATTAAGCTCAAGTGCAGCGATGCACCGCGGGATAGATATTGAAGTAGCGCTTAAAAGCGTTGTGTACGTTGCTTTATTGACAGGGCCGGTATTCCTTTCGAGAGATTCTTTAAGGTTGAATGACCTCCGGTAGATAATTTATATACGGCGCGAAGCGGACGATAAGAAGTTACGTTTCCATAGATTTGATAACTCCGAAAATTTGCATTCTTTCAGATGCAAGTGTCCGGCTCATGGAAATCCTGGAGGTGGGATTTCTCATAATCATGGAAATGCACGCAGCACCAATGCGACTACTGCGCCACCCAAGGAATATGCATTCGAGGTAAATTCGAAAGAGTCAAACTTGACGCGTGGAAAAAAAAAAAACATTACGTGAAATAAATAAAACGGCACTCGTGGCTTCGGAAGCTTACGTAACGTGTTGACAAGAAGTCGAACATTAGTGACGCGTGAAACGTATCAAATTAAAGAACCGGAAAATCGGACTAGAACAGTTCTCAGAAGATAAGGAGCTGCCACCTTGATAATGTTTACACTCTACGCAAAGATAAAATGAAATGAATGACGAACGCGTTTGCAGGTGTAAAAAGATTGAATTAAAAAAAAAGTGTAATAATTATCGTACGTTACGATTAATCGACGGATTGTCGATTGTAATAACACGTGTGATTTTCCAGATGGCCTGTTCCACTGTCAGGTACGGAATTGGCGTGACACGTGAGATCGGAATGGATATGGAAAATTTTGGAGCTAAGAAGGTGTGCTTGATGACAGATCCGAATCTTGCCAAACTGACACCTGTCAAAACAGTCGTAGACAGCTTGACCAAGCACAGCGTGAACTTTGACGTCTATGACAAAGTCCGAGTGGAACCAACGGAAGCCAGTTTGGAGGACTCTATAAAATTTGCAAAAGAGGGGAAATTCGATGCTTACGTAGCAGTGGGCGGTGGTTCGGTAATGGACACTTGCAAAGCAGCAAATCTGTACGCGAGCGACCCGGAAGCCGAACTGCTGGATTACGTGAATGCGCCAATAGGCAAGGGCAAACCGGTGCTCGTTCCGCTGAAGCCACTGATAGCAGTTCCAACGACATCTGGAACAGGTTCCGAAACGACGGGCGTTACGATCTTCGACTACAGACCATTGAAAGCCAAGACGGGAATCGCCAATCGGGCGCTTCGGCCGACACTCGGCATTATCGATCCTAATCACACGTTGACTCTGCCCGAAAGGGTCTGCGCCTATTCAGGCTTTGACGTTCTGTGCCACGCACTGGAGTCGTTCACCGCGATTCCTTACAGCGAGAGGACACCCTGTCCGACCAATCCGATTCTGAGGCCCGCTTATCAGGGCAGCAACCCCGTGAGCGACGTATGGGCCAGGTATGCCCTGCAGGTCATGAGGAAGTACTTTGAAAGGGCCGTCTACAATCAGGATGACTTGGAAGCCAGAAGTCACATGCACCTGGCCAGCACGATGGCCGGAGTTGGTTTTGGCAACGCAGGAGTTCATCTCTGCCACGGACTGTCTTATCCTATCAGTGGGAACGTTCGCACTTTCCAACCGGAAGTACGAATTGTCGACTGTTGAAATCGTTTGGAAATCGTTAACGGGTATTAAAAAAAAAAAATGCATTTCCTCTCCAGGGATACAGTAAGGACCATCCGATCGTGCCACATGGACTGTCCGTTGTCATTTCGGCCCCAGCTGTCTTCTCGTTCACCGGAAGTGCTTGTCCGGAAAGACACTTGGAAGCTGCTGAATTACTGGGAGCGGATGTGGCTAATGCCAAGAGGGATGATGCTGGTAAGATCTTGGCTGATACCGTCAGAGGGTACATGAGGATTATGAAGGTCGAGAATGGACTGGCCGAACTGGGATTCAAGAAGGAAGACATTCCGACTCTAGTGCAGGGAACTTTGCCGCAGGTAGAACTTTCTGTCTTACTCATTCATAGGCTTTGAAGGAAGTACAGTTTCATTTGGATTTCTTTCTCTGTGCTTAGCATCGTATTACTAAACTGGCACCGCGAGAGCAATCCGAGGAAGATCTTGCGGAGCTCTTCGAGAAATCATTTTCGATTTACTGAAAAGGAGGAAAAGTCGAAAGCTGCAACATCAAGCGAGGAATCAATAAAGACAATTAGCATTGTGGAACGGTATTTTTATATCGTGTACCAAAACTTAACAAATTAGTTAGCCAATTACCGACTAATCCGAGTCTTGTTTAATTACGATACTACAAATTAAGTTCTAAACCCTCCACAAGGCTTATCTCTTCACTGATATCCTTACAATGAATTTTTTGTATAAAATTTGCAATAAATAACTTTTCTACTACACGTCCATTCGCTGTACATATCCGTGCGAGTATATCTTCTTTCGATTCCTCGAACGTAACTGCGTATTGTTTGAGTTTGACGATAATTTTGCAAACAAACAAATTATTCAGCTTACGCAACTTAACTCGATTGACTGACGGGCCCCCGAATTAATCCAAGTTCCGTAAACACTCGCGGCCTCTCCGTAATGATAACTCTTTCTAATTAAATAACGCCATTCAGAATCATCTAAGCGACGTAAACACTGTAACATATAGTTTTTCGTAATTCTACTAAAAATCTGAAAATACGAGTCTATAAATACGAAGAATTACCGTTTTAATTTCATCACTGAGCTCTTCATGATAGATGAAGATAGCTGACGACACGCTGCAACTACTTTCTTCAATCTATCCGATAGTTCACTCGTCGACATTGAATGCTCCAAATAAAACGTTAGGTTTATAAATAATGACGTACGCACTACGAATCAATAGGTTTCCCATTCGGGATAGACTCACACGATCAACTAGCCACGTGTACTGGAGCACCGAGAGTCTCTATAAAAAGCAACGATTCTCCCTTTGGAATATCTCAGTCTTATAATTAGACTGACTCTTCGCGGTGGTAAACCAAGAAACGTACCTACTCGGTGAACAGGGCTGAGCATTCTACTTGTTAACTCAAACTGTGCACAGAGTCGTACGAGTTCAATAACGAGAGGACTCAGATGATTTTCATAAGACTAGATTTTCAACTCGAGAGTCATTTTATCTGGCTTGTACGAAACTTCAGATTATTTACCATAAGCACAGCTCAAATATTCCACAGCTCTGTGCTGGAGTGAAAATAATGATGGTATATATCAAATAAATCAATAGTAAATAATGACTACGGTCGGGATCAACGGATTTGGTAGAATAGGTAGAATGTGCCTGCGAGCATGTCTTGAGAAGGGACTTGAGGTACGAAATATGATATAATGAAAAAAAAAAAAAAAAAAAAAAAAAAAAAAAATTTTTAAAAAATATTCCCATCTCGTCGGTATAAGAATAAATCGCGAGGATGCTTTATTATGAAATCGGAAATTGGCGTCGATCTTCGGGCGAAGAGCGAGCGTTTCCAGAGTCGTAAGATAAATGTATACAGAGATGTGAAGGTGAGACATCTGAATGATCCGTTCATCACGACGGATTACATGGTCTACCTTTTCAAGTACGATTCGACTCATGGCCAGTATCCTGAACATGTTGACTGCGAAGGGGATGCATTGCTGATAGGTGGTAATGATAAGGAAAAAAAAAATACCCATGATCCCCGGTCATTATTAAATTATTAATTGTTCACGTTGCGTCAATCGAGAGCGACGGATATCAACGTCGCAGGAAAAAGATCCTTCGAAGATCAAATGGAAGGATCTGGGTGTGACATTCGTCGTCGAGGCCACTGGAGTGTTCACTACCTTGGAGAAAGCGAGTGTGAGTGATTTCATCATTTTATTGCCCATTTAGTCGGGAGGACAATTTCGAGTTGACGTAATTTTTTTTTTTTTTTCATCGGTTTCCCAGTAAATCACGAGACCCGACTTGACGTAATTACATCTACGTTACTGCTGCGTGCAGTCCAGCACGTTGTCATTCTAGGGAGTCCTTTCACCATTATGTATAAGGATTGCGTCATATTGCTCAAATGGAATTATTTAGATAGCACCGTTGATTGACAGTTGCATATAGATGGGGGTGCCAAGAGGGTTCTGATAACCGCACCATCCATCGACGCACCCATGTACGTTTTCGGCGTGAATCATCGCTGCTACGATCCGAAAAAGGGACACGTCGTATCGGCCGCTTCGTGCACGACCAACTGCGTCGCGCCAATTGTCAAAGTGATGCACGACAAGTTTGAAGTGATCGAGGCAATGATAACGAGCGTGCACGCAACGACCGCCGCACAAAAAACTGTGGACGGACCAACGGGAAAAGTAAGTAAATTCTGAGACCGAATGTGGAATTCGAATTTTGAACGTAGAATTGCAGTTGTGGCGCGACGGCCGAGGGTGCCTTCAGAATATCATCCCCACGTCGACCGGTGCTGCAAAGTCACTAGGGAAAATAATTCCCGAACTGAAAGACAAAGTTTCTGCCATAGCGTTTCGCGTTCCCGTGCCGAACGTTTCACTGTGCGACATTACATTCAGGTATCCTAGACCTTAAACGATAAGGGTAGATCTCTTCGTTGAGGAATTTTCGAAAATTCCAATACGAAAAAAGTTCGTTCCCTTTCGAGCACTGGGGCAGCTGGGCTTACAGTAGATATTATCGATCGTCAAGGGTCAACAAGCCTACGACGTACGACGAAATCAAGAAGACCGTGAAGGAAGCGACGGAAACTGAATTCAAAGACATCATGGCCTACACGGAAGACGACTGTGTTTCATCCGATTTTAATCACACGACGTATTCCTGTGTCTTCGATGCGAAAGCCGTCATTCCGCAAACGAGCACGTTTATAAAAGTCATCGCCTGGTAATTCATATCGATTTACAATCTATCGATTTCTATCTCTAATTAGAGCATTGTTTCTCAGGTACGACAACGAGTACGGATATGCTCACAGAATAGTGGACTTGCTCAAGTATATGAATGAGCCTGATTCTAAAAACGTGCATCAGGTAGGAGAAGATGAGGATGACGACTGAGTCCATATCGCCTTCCACTAAATGTTCTTGTAATCTTGGAAGAAATAAAAGGAGAGGAAAGCACTGAGTGTGAATATATGTAGTTAAAATGTTATATCGCAAAGAGGAATAAAAACGGATACTGGATATTGATATGGGAATGAGAATAACTACGATGCTTCGATCTGCTTCGATGTGGGATAAAACGTCGGTTGAATCTCGCGCTGTCCTGCACGTCGATACTGGCACGTACGGAGACGATTCACGTGACCCGAGTACGGCCGAACGAGCCGAATAGTCATCCCTACCGCTGAGCTCCTCCGCCATTACGAAGTAGACGCGTAACGCGCATACGCAGACGTAGAAGCCGGTTATATTACTGTTCGGTGCCCTTCAAATGACACTGTTTCCGTGCTAGCCGCAGTGTAAGGTTCTGTTTTGCCACGTAAGTAATTTTCATCACTCATCTCCACGACGTCCAGCATCCCCGGATTCCTTAGCAAAGCCTCGGATGTCGGTTGTCATTCAGAAAATACAAAAAACGTGATATTTTTTCTGAGGAACGGTATTCAACGGGCGATGGCCAGTGTTGTAATAGAAAATTTGTTTCTGCCATATCGCCAGCTTATTCCATATTTGATCGTCCTATTACCGGCCTCTTGAGTAACTTCCTAATTGGGATATTTCAGTAAAACGTTAAGATCTTCGTTACTGCAAGTGCTACTAGGTTATTCCGGTTCGTCGATCTATGAAAAATCTAGAAATTTGCTACGGTACGTGCAAGTTTTCACGTAGCGGTTGTAATTTTATGTCTGAGGATAGAATTTATTTTCTTCGTTCCGTCATGTAAATTAAGGCTCGTATCAAAAGATCTGAACTCGGAGTAGATGCCGCTACGGCTCACAATTTGCAGTTCGCCATTTTGTCAGTTATATCAGCTCGTTATAATGGGAGCTGGGGCGCTGTCAATCTGTCATGTCGCTACGCGTTCCCTGACCTAATAAATACGGAGCATCTAGAATAGCTTTTGTAAATGAAATTCAGCCACCCTTGGATCTGGCACGATCTCCAAGGTCATGCTAGGGGTCACCAGAATGCACACTTAGCAATGACATTGGCAAGAGCACGCTCTTCTCGACCTTGAATGACCTCTAGGAATCTTACAACATTTAATAAAATTTAACGATTTCATAAAATTCTTCTTTGTATCTACATGAACTCATCCAAAAGGCCACTGATGTGTTTTTCCTTCATTTACATATTTTGAAACTTGACATTGTTACATTGTAACTACAATTGTTAATCGTGAAACTAACAACGAACAAGCATCAGACTTGCTACTCGATCACTTCCTCAAATTCCAGCTTTATGTATTCTGATTTTTTATTTTTAGTTATCCTCCGAAAACCAAAAACATGAGTAAAATTGGAATCAACGGATTCGGCCGTATTGGTCGTCTGGTCCTGAGGGCTTCCCTCGAACGTGGCGGAGAGGTGGGTCTTTTTTCTCTATTCCTTTGATAAAAATTAGTGATTCAACGAAATGACTATTTTATAATTCCTTCTTGAACAGGTCGTCGCCATCAACGACCCGTTCATCGGTCTGGACTACATGGTCTACATGTTCAAGTATGACTCCACCCACGGAAAGTTCAAGGGTGAAGTTACTGCCCAGGACGGTAATTTGGTTGTCAACGGCAAAAAGATCGCCGTCTTCAGCGAGCGTGACCCCAAGGCCATCCCCTGGGCCAAGGCTGGTGCTGAATACGTCGTAGAGTCTACCGGCGTTTTCACCACAATTGAAAAAGCTTCAGTAAGTAAACCAAGATGATTTGTAAATTTCATGTGCAAGGTCCGTGCCAATCCTAATTCATCGTTCATGTTTTATAGGCTCACTTGGAAGGTGGTGCCAAGAAAGTCATAATCTCCGCACCCTCTGCCGATGCTCCCATGTTCGTCGTTGGTGTCAACCTCGATGCCTACGATCCCAGCTACAAGGTCGTCTCTAATGCTTCCTGTACCACCAACTGTCTAGCTCCTCTCGCTAAGGTTGTCCACGATAACTTCGAAATCGTCGAAGGTCTCATGACTACTGTTCATGCCACTACTGCTACGCAGAAGACCGTTGATGGTCCTTCCGGCAAGGTAGGGTAAAAAATGAATACAGCACCTTGAAGTATCGTATCCATGTGATTTTCTAATATTAATAATTTTCCTGTTCAGCTGTGGCGTGATGGACGTGGTGCTGCCCAAAACATCATTCCTGCGGCCACTGGTGCTGCCAAGGCAGTAGGAAAGGTCATTCCTTCTCTGAATGGTAAACTCACCGGAATGGCTTTCCGTGTTCCTGTTGCCAACGTTTCCGTCGTCGATTTGACTGTCCGTCTCGGCAAGCCTGCGACCTACGACGCTATCAAGGCCAAGGTCAAGGAAGCTGCTGCCGCAGGTGGTCCTCTTGACGGTATCCTGGGATACACCGAGGATGATGTTGTCTCTTCGGACTTCATCGGCGACAACCGCTCCAGCATATTTGACGCCAAGGCTGGAATCCCGCTGAACGACCAGTTCGTTAAACTCATCTCCTGGTACGATAACGAGTTTGGCTACTCCAGCCGTGTTATCGACCTCATCAAGTTCATGCAGACCAAGGACCAGTAAAGAGTCCTAGACGAGGAAATACCCGAGTCAACGTAATCATCCCCAAACGCTGCTTCTGTCGTTTTGCGCCATTTTCGAAGGAATCGTCATTGTGGTCAAAATGCTGGATGGACGTTGGTATTCACGGTCATGGATAGGTGTAGTGTTGTAAACCGAGAATCGGGGCGAGGGTGAAGGGAAGGGGACGTACTGTTCGATGGGATTCGAAGGGTCGACGTTCCCGTTGTTACAAATTCTTATGAGAAGATTGTTCCGTCGATATCTTCCCCGCTGCCACGAGTACAAACTATAGTCTAGCCGACTATTAACTTCGTAGACAGTTTTTCGTTTTGCTGATTCAAGGATTAATGAGAAAAATTTGTTTTAAATAAATCTTTTAAGTGATATCCCTCGCCTTGTGCTCCGAACTTTTAAAAAATTTCATGAAACGCGGTCTATGATTGTCGATGTAATTTGCATAGTTCATTGTAATTCCACCTATGATGATAATTACATATACACTTTTACGTGTTAACGGTTTTATCATCCATTCACTCAGCATCCTCAAGAACTACACGAAGAATATTATAATTTTTTTCTTCTCATTAATATTATTTTTCATGCGAACATAGATAATAATAAAAATCAGTGAAACCCCAAGATAATTGTTTCTTTTTTTGCCAATCTAATTTACATTACATCCCACCTCACTAGACAGACTAATAAGAATAAATCGATTCGGGAAGTAACTTTATATACATTATACACCGTATTTATACAATTACAAAAATGCTTCTTAATTCTCTAATCGTTGACTTGTAGCTACAGTTTCTCATTGCCTGACGGAATTTCCCTGGTATGAACAGCGAAGATTCTCACGTCGAGAGAAATTGGCAACCGTTAATAATAATGATAACAAAATATCGTTCTTTGTATGGCAATGGCACAGAAAAATGTCAATCAATTCGTCTAAAAGAAAATCGTACGCAAACTACAGGCGAATTACGAGTCTACTATAATACAGAATGTCGGGACCCGTGCCAGGTGCAATTGATATTGCAATGAGATCCAGTACCAGAAATTGACAAGATCGTACATTTCTTTAAATTAATTTTCGATCGCAAATTAGCATCACAGTCTCCGCGTAAAATTATTGGGTATTTTTGCGAGAGCAGTGAAAAACAAAAAATACTAAAGGGGACGAAGATGAAAAATACTTTTACGTAACAAGGAACGTTCTTCCGATAATGACGTCGGCATTGATTTTTTCCTCCACGACACGAGACATCAAACAGTTGCTTCTCTCTTTCACAACACGGCTTCATATTCTTTAACACTGTCTATATATAATATATGTATATGTAATTATACGATACAAAACTATCCGACTCAAGCGCACCAGTCAAACTTGACAGTTGCCATACGCCTTAAAGATCTGGGAGAACGCTTCGATATTTTTCAAAGAATTTAAACGTTTATTGCATTCTTGTTGCGCTCGCAGCAAGATAATCCTGTATATATATTTTTGCATCTTTTTGCTTAGTCATTTCACAATGATCCGTAAGGCTCTGGTCACCGAGTGACCGACGCGTTACCACGACATGCATAAATATAATATCAACGGGCAGATATATTCGTTAAGATTCAGTGAATAAAAGTATAAGACATGGCAATGTACAGAAAATTAGGAAAATTAGTTAATGATGCTAATTTCACAAGACAGAGATAGGATGTAGGATATTCCATTGCCCCATTCAAGTAAAAGAAAGTACGTTAAACTTTTCACATGGTCGATTAATGTTCTAGATAACTTTTGAAACTAGGAAATGATGAAAGCTAAGTCAAAATTAAACTGATCACCAGGAATACTGGATGGGGAAAAAATAAATTGATCTGAGGAAAGTAGTCTAGGACGATACGACGATTGTGTGGAAAGATGAGACTCGGGAGAGAAACCAGTGAAAGTATAGATTCCTAGAGGAATTGTATTGTATGGAGGATGAGAAGAAGAGGAGGAAACGAAGAGACGAATGAAGAGAAACGAAAAGGATCGATCAGGTCAACAGCAACAATTTCGCACGCAGGTTGATCCGCTCTTGAAGCGCCGATGCAAGTTCACGTGTCAGTTCCTCGCAAACAAGTCGTAGTTCTGCATTTCTTTCTCTCAGTTCCTGCAAGTTCAACCTCCTGGGATCTTCGGGGTCGTCCTTCCCGGCGTCGTCGTCGTTGCCATCGCGTTCTACGAAAATTCACGAGAAAAAGCAGCAATAGAGTGCAAAACCTTTGAATCTAGCGAAGCCAACAAAAATTGCTAATGATTAATGTATGTCACCAGTGCTAATGATTTGAATGGAATAATCATCGTGCTTCTATGTCTATCTAAATCATGCTTCTTACTTGGACTGGGCTTTCTGTAGATATGGAAAGCTCCGCAGATTCCAGCAAATTGCTGAGATTGCTGAACGTTACTGCTTTCCACTGGTGGATTCTCAGGCGCGTCACCTTTTGGCGAGAAATGCGAGAAATCGGCAACGAAACCCTGACTGTCACCGGGTGCCTTCTGACCTTCGCCCTCGCTTCTCTGACCCACGAGCTTCCGCGGTGAAGTCTACCGATACAAACGCAATCCGGTGTCGAACGAGGAATCAGCAACGAGACACAGAAAGACTAAGTGAGACACACGAGAAGAATAGAGAGAACGAGACTCACGATTCCCGGTGATACTCTTGGTGGTACCAGAGGTGGTGCGCCCAGGAAACTTTGACCATTTTTACCTACGCGACCAAAACGTAAATTCTTACCCTGATACTACAATACTTGGCACAATACAGGAACGTGACTAACGGTAACCATGATCCGACTGAAAGGTCCACTTACCTAATTTGTTTAGATCAAGACTAGAACTCCTGGCGTGCGTTCTGTAAGGTCTCGGGGGCGGTGGCGGCGGAGGTTCCTTTTTCGGCGTCACTATTATTGATTCCTCGGGAGGTGGCAGTGGTTTTTTTGCCAAAGGTCTCTGAACCATATTGATCGAAGGATACTGACTTTCCTCGTCTCCTAAGGTCGATCCGTTACTGTTATTCCCATTGGCGCCCGATGCTAGAATCGCTGCCTCCGGTGTCAGTCGTAATGGTACCGGATGTAGAATCTTAGGATCTCTCTCTACAGCTGCCTTTTGGAAGTCAAAGTTTACTGGCTTTGGTCCAGGACTCGTTAAGGTACCGCTGGTTCCGGTTGGCGAATCCACGAATTTTGTCCACTCTTTACTCTTGTCTCTGGTATTTACGGTACTCGGAGGGCTGCTCTGAGTTACTGGAGGTGCTGGCTGAACACTCGGTGGGGTTGTCGTCTTTTGCATTGCTAGGAGTACAGCCAGCGATGGTGGCAGAACGTCTGGTAACGGTACGTGGTTTCTTCTCAGAACAACCAGATGCATCGCTACGTAGAATTCTGCGAGACTTAGTGCTCCGTCCCGAGTAACGTCTGCTAGTTGCCAAATGCGTCTTAATTCTGCTACAGGAAGTCGAGACTTTTCGAAAAATGTTCGAGCTACTGTTCCTGCCAAAAGACCTTCAGGTCCAGATTGTAACAAGTTAAACTGAGTTGTATAATAATCCAGTTGCTCCTCACTAATTGTCCATACTTCCTCTGGTGGAAATCCTGATCCATCGCCATCCCCATCAGCCTCATCGCTACTGTGACGCTCAGAGCTCTCTTCTTCGGTTCCTAGAAGTTGTCGCTGTTCCTCTGACACTAGAAGACCTTGCCATTCGCTAGTCACAGAGTCTAATATAGTTTCTCCGCCCATGGTGCCATCGTTTCTCTCTTGAGTAACACTATTAGTAGGTGTAGGGGAATCTGTACTTCCACCAGCCTCTCTTGGAGATTCAGCCTCACTTTCACTCTCCGTTGTACTCTCTGGCACTCGACCTCCTGATCTACCTTTGGAGCCTCTTGTGGAATCTGAACTTCTGCCACCTTCCTCGTCTCCCGAAGATGGCCAATTGAATCTAGGTAGAGCTATAACATCGAGGGAAGTCGTCACAGCATCCCTAAATATTTCCAATCCAGACTGATGAGCTGCCACTAGCTTGAGAGCAGCATAAAATTGTTTTCTGCTCAAATGAGTTTGTCCCTTGGCACTGACGCATATATCCAAAATCTGTTGGCAACATAAAAAATATAACTTATCTTAACTATTACAGACTGTGCAACATTCCTATAACATACTCAAGGAATCTGAAAGATTGTAAGATTCTAATCCATCCAAGTGTACTGTACGAACAAATGATGTCAGGAACGGTACAGTAGGTAACGTTATATATCTATGCACCGACACGCTTAAATATCTAGTAGCCAAGTAGCAAAGTAGCCCATCATGAGTATAATAATAGTGACAAGTTTTACCTTCATGGTGACGTCGCGGGGTAGATTGGCCGAGCGAAGCAATTCAGCTGCTTTGACGACAGGAACACTCTCGCTTTCACAATTGTCACAGCAATAAATGAATATATCGCCATAATACCGGTGTTCCGTCTCGGTCAGCTGTAAATTCGCTACGGTGATCGAGTCCCAATCCATCTTGGCGGATTAGATTCTGACTAGAATTTCCTCAGATCACTCAGCTCTACTCGCAAACTATGCCTTTAATTCCTAAACGGTCTAATCACATCTCGCACTGTACCCGGTAAACACGCTGACTCGACTGTCTCTTGGGTACGCAAAATGACGATTGCAAACTACACCCCAAATATCAGTAAACGTTTCACGTCCGCCATGTTTCTCGCAGTTTGACATTCCTATGGCCTGCGTACCTCACTGTTGCATACTCGAAAAATATTAAGTTTGAGTCCTGACACTTGGTTGTGTTTTTAGAATCCACTTTGCAATTGTGTTCCTGTCTTTAAAAGGGCCAACTGTGGCATTTCAAATTTATTTAACGACAAATTAGTAATCATTGGGTATATAAGACTTGCGCGGTGGCGCCACCTATCAAATATAGGCTATACTACTAACTCCTCTAGATAAAAATGTTTCTTATTGTCTTCTACTTGCACAGTAACAGTAAGTAATTCTTCTGAAATTCGTAAATTCTATATATTGCTTAGAATACCGGATTCGATGTTATAGATATCGGAGAATAGTGTAAGTAATCTTTCAAAAGGACAACGAGTCGTACAACATAATAATAAAATTTAATTTCCCAGGTATTCATTTTTTTACATTTATCTTTGCACCAGTCGTTCACAGCTAGTCATACTCTTATTATTTTACAAAAGATTTGAAATATTCTCTTTCATATCCGATAATATTGCCCCCATCGAGAAGCCATCCAGGTTTCGCTCTGTTTCCTCGAAGGAGTGGATTACAATGCCACTGTCGTGTAAGACGTGGGTGTTGGAATGCCAGGAGATAAACGAACGACATTAACGATTCGTGCTAAGAGCATAAAGTGTGTCCGCTAACTCGTAACATACCAAGTATCAAAGACACACAACAAACTCTTTGAATTTCCAGTCCAAAGATTTTTCCTTGTCTTTACGGTTACGAATAATTCATTCAGAGTTCCCATAAAGACGCCAGAATCCACAAGAGCCACGAGCACAGAGTTACGTGTTAAGGAACTAAACAAACATATACCAGTAAACGTGTAAACGATGTTATATGTGTTTAGCATAATCATCAAGTCATCACCATCTTGCGGAGGCTGCTGCCAGTCTCGAATCTGTCAACCGTGCGGCGACTCTGAGATTAGAGTGATTTTGATTTATCGAATTGTCAGGCATCGTGCGTGATGAAATATTAATTAGATCACCGCACCCACCTCTCAGTAATTTGGTCGTTAATCGAATACAGTCCCCGTGGAGAACTTTGCCACCCACTGATAAAAGGATCCTCGCCAGTCATAGGTAGTCGAATCTCGTTTCTACGTCCAAAGAGGGTCGTACCCCTGGACCGCGACGCATCAACCGTACGCCATGAAGATCCTTCCGCCAAGAGATTTCCGGCTCCAATAGTAAATTTCGGAATTTGGCCAACAGTGTTTCGCCCAATTGCCCAATAACTTTCCCACGGTGCAAAGTATTTCAAAGCGAAATAAAAAAAAAAAAAAGTCAACGAGTGGCAAAATGAACCCAGTGTCTATGGTACCTGGAAGGAAATAGTGCGTAGGCAACTTTATAGCGTATGCAGTGCTTACAACGTGGAACGTGTCACGTATGGCCGATCCGTGGCATGACATTAACGCAGGATTGTTTCGATCCGATCGTTAGCTCGATAATGGTCTCATGTCAACTATCAAGGACTCCGATCGGCCACCGGCTGGACAAGACGCCAATCCCGTCCCCCGGGTGTTCCCTTTCGTTTCCTCGTCTCAACGGGACACACCTCGTTCCCAGCTTCCTCCATGCTCCCATCCTGAGCCCGATAGACACCTGGCACCAGTCGCTGACCTTCCACAGGACGAACCAGGATCCGATACGAGGGCTTCCCTCGCCAATGAATTCGTTCTAGAGGAATGATCTCGATTCGTCGCTAATTTTTCCTAGAACTCAACAGGCGACAAACGACCCTGGTCCTAATTCGGGAGAGACACCGTGGTACAGAGTCTTCAAGGATTTGGCAATACAGCCCAGAGGAAGTGACAGGACAATGCAGCTGCCTCGTGTCAGACGCATTCATCACTAATCAATTTACTAATCTATTGGCAATCGATTAGTAATTCTGGAAGCATGAGTTCCTGGCAAATTTCCACGGATTTACCAAAAATCGAAAAAAAAGGGGAATGTACAAGGTTGCGTAACGAACTGAAATTTACATTCCAGCGGAACGAGCCTCTACTCAACCAGACACAGGAAGGACAATGAAGGATCGTTCTTCAAAGCCGGTCGTCCTATCCCAACCACGTTTTCAAGAGGATCGTAACTGCCGTTTCTAACGGCGCGTCGTTTCCATCGAACCACGCTGCTACACGACCAGTCGTCTTACGATCTCTCTATAATCTACCACAACGCCAAGAACTGCGTCGTTGCCTGCAGCTACACAGTCGATCTCTCGAAACGACCAGGACCTCCAGTTACCCGTCATCGAGTGACTCGATTCGCAAATAGAGTCATCGGCGTTAAGGAGAAGTTCGAGCGAACGTACTGTACGAGGAGAGACACGTGTGAAGCATGTGGCTGAGAAGCGGAGGCTCTCTCTCTCTCTCTCGAGGACCGTGCAGAAGGAAGGAAGGAACTGAGAAAGGAGCAATGTCGTGCCGTGTGGTCCTGTACCGAAGAGTGGGCCACGTACGCACACCGCGCGTGCCAGTGAAAGTGTACGTCTGTCAGCCCCACCCTGGGGCCCCCACGTATTCGAAGTTGTGGTCGCCGAGGTTTTATACGCTACACGGGTGGAATCATCTGGGGCAAATCGCGCCGGAGCCCGGACGTGCCAGCGCATTGGTATATATGAGCCGCAGAGCGCGACGGGACTTCTGACAGAGTCGACACGTGTCATCGTGAGAGACGGAGACAGAGTCAACATTGACATCAACGTCGGTATTGACTCAAGTTTCGCGGTTGTAATCGCCCAATGATAGTTACGCGATCGGCGAACGTGCATCTCGCGTAAAAGCATCGGCAGTTTCCGGTTCTTTCATCGCTGCGTCCCTTATATCCTTCGCGTCGCCCTGCGCTTCCACTGTCTCCTCTGGTGGCGCCTCGCTCGCCTGAACGGACCTTCGACTGGCACTGGCGGAGGGATTCGCGGGTGGAACGATAACAAGCGACCTCACCAGTCTTCCTTGGATTCGCTTGTTTAGGAGGCTGAAGACCCAACATTTAAGTGGTCACTCTACACGTGGACTCGAGTGTCTCTGGTGACGATGAGACAGCTACTCGAATTGATCCTTCTGGTAAGTCTTTAGTTGATTACGTTCTATGGGTGTCGGGAGCACCTTTATTCCTGCGCTATTAGAGAGAATTGGGTTACAGTGAATTGGGTGGCAGCGAAGGTTGCCGGTGTGTAGTATTGTCAACGAGTCGCTTAACGAGACCTAACGAGACCTAACGAGATCGATCATTAGCTGGAGTAAGAGGAGTCCCAGCATCCCGGAATGAGAATACATAAAGATAAGGCCAAAAAGCTCCCACTCTGTATCACGTTACGCTCCCTGATCATTTTAATTCATCGGAACAGTCGGACGGTCCATGCGCGACGCAGTGACGGCCGAAAGAGTCACCCTGCATCTTCTCCGGAGTCACGTTCAGCCTCCTGAGGTTTCTCGACAACGATCGCACACGGGATCCTAGAATCGTAACTTCACCCACTATCGTTCCTCTGACAATCGTGATCTTGAACTCTCGGCAAAGTGAACGGCAGCAGCTACACGTACCTTGCATCTCGTTACGTAACCTCCGACATTCCTCTATCACTGCCGATTCTCAAAGGTTCTCATTTTATTATTTTAATGCGTTCGACCTAATCGACGTCCCGTGGGAGCAGCGGGAACGATGCGAAATCCTGTAAATTTGTTTTTCAAAATACCGAACGCGGATGTTCTATTAATATGTTTTTCAAGGTTCCTCATCGATTGCCCGCCAACCGTCAAACGTAATTAGGCAGGACATTCCTGTCTACCGGTGTAATTGTCTTGGTTATTTGGGGAAAAAAAAAAGAAATGTGGATTCTGGAATTTCGCGAGGAGCCGAGTACTGGACTCTGTCTACCTCTCGACAATGAAGGGCTGGTGAGCCTTGACCGGAGTGCTCTCCCTCCCTACTCCCCCCTCTTCCCC